CTTTCTAGAGGGCAAGGGAGGAGACATGCGTCCAGTGGCTATTGTGCAAAGCTACAGGATGAGTATTTTGGTGAAGGTGTGGTGTGCAGAGCACACTGGCAGCGTAGGAGCATGGATGTGGTTCATAGGTCAYCTACTCCTGCCGATACTTCCCTCTATCCTCCACCCTCAAAAAGCTCCTAAGGGAGCTTCTTAGAGTGTGTATCAAAAGTACCAGCTTTAGACCTGTACCTAATCTTCCCAAGAACGAGCACTAAAATCATCTAATGATGTGGGAGGTTTCACAGAAGAAAGGGGAGAGAAGGCATCTAGGTATAGGAATCCACCAGCATGAAGGTGGGAATGAGGCAGCACTGGAGTGTGACCGCTCCAGGCAGGCCGTGCAGTTCTGATGTGGAGAGTGAGCAGATGAGACAGGACAGGGTCACCCTGCTCAGGAGTGTCTTTTCYCCTGGTCCAGACCAAGGTGAGTTGAATACAAGGGTCTGAATGTGGAGGTTTCGTTTTCCAGCAGTGGGCAAAGTGGAGAGAGGGCAGGAGCTTAGTTGGAGGCTATTCCAGGAATGCCAAGGGAGTTCAAGTTGGTGTCAACTGGGAGGGAAAAGATGCTCACAGGGAACCGGCTACTCCACAGACTCCTGGAGAATGAGGAGGCACTGGAGTGTGTTGCTGAGCCCTGGCTGGCTCTGAACACCAGCCACCAAGTTCCATTGGTGACTGAAATAATGCCTGTAACAGGTGGGGTGTGGTGCGATGACCTGGTCAATGGGGGAAGAAGTTTAGGCTTGGACTTTCTGAGGTTGAGGTATCACTGCAGTAGCCTGAAGGAGAAGGCCTTTCTCAATGCCCTTTGTCTGTCTGTCCCTCTGTCCTGGCCTCATCATAGCCCACTTGGTGTCAGTGCATGTCACCACCTGGAGTGGGCAGCAAGGGCCCAACTCATTTTTACRTATTTGCTCTGCTCATATTAGAAGGTTCAGGAATGGGTTATCAGCCACTAACTATCATTTCCACATAATGCAGCTTCTCAGATGGCCTAAAGATGGGCGATAAAGTCTCCTATAAATGGAAAGGCTATAGGATGACTCTGATGTGAATTCTTGTTTCCTGTTGTTTATGGGAACTGGCTCTGGTGATAGGTGTGCCACAGGGACAGTATCCACTCACCAGTTGTCACCATGTGAGGAGGGCAGGAAAGGTCTGAATCACATTAAAGCACCCTCAACTGCCCTTTCCCTGGAATAGTCCAGAAGGAATCTGCAGCACTTCCCAAAGGAAGTAGGGGCACCTTGAAGCTGGGAGAAAGATGGCCAAAAATTTAGAGGGGAGAGTAAAGAGGCCTCGATGGGAATGGAGCAATGCTTCCCTGCATTTTAAAATGCCTCGCGCCACTGAAGAAAATCACTCATTATCCTGAAGTGTGCACTTGACTGAGTCTGCACTCACAGAAGCATTTGGAGAATTTTAAAACATCTCTTTCTTTAAAAAAGAAGATAGGTTGGGCTGGGGCTGTGGCTCAGCAGCAGAGCACTCGCCTAGCATGGGCAAGGCCCTGGGTTTGATCCTCAGCACCACATAAAAATAAATAAATAAAGGCACTGTTTCCAACTACAACCAAACAATAAATATTTAAAAAAAAGAAAATAGGAGGAGATCAGAAAAATCATGTGGCACATGAATACACTATTAGGTTTTAGACAGAAAATGCCAAAGAAGGGTTCACATGCAGTAATGGTAATGTTCTCCTGCAAGCTCTCGAAATGACCAAACAGCACGTCTACAACACGTGGGGTGGAGGCGAATACTGCATGCCTCCCAACTTGCCTTCTTCTATAAACACAGAGAAGCAATCCTCAAAAACAGGTTCAAAACTGGGTAAGGCGCTACGACCCAAGAATTAATTAACTAAACAGGAGAGTGAAGTAAACAAAGGAAAAATTATCATATCAAAATAAAAAGACAAGAAACACGATTAAATTAGGCTTCAAAAGACCCGTGAGAAACTCATAAAAGGCATAATATGCACTTACCTGGTTTTTATTCTTTCATGATTTAATTTCTAATTTTATTCACTACCATCTGATAATTGCATGTAACACTTATTCTAACCATGGGCAATTTAAACTATTTTAATTTTTATTTCAAGGCCATGAGACAAAGGAACCTATTTATTGCCTAAGGGGATTTTTTTTAAACAAAAATTAAAGCTTAATCTTTCATGTTTTAAAGCCAAGACTGTTTAAAATCATTTATAATAATGCTGTAGGGAGACTTTTTCTGGGTATGTAAAAATGAAAAGATAAATTTACAATTATTTTAAAAAATTAATAGTTTGGGGGATTACATTGTCCCTTTCCTTTCTAGATGAATTTGTCTGAAGCTTCAGAGACATTTAAAACAAGGGTAGAACCAAGGCCTGTGTAGGATGAGGCTTCCGTACATTTCAGGGTGAYGGGTACACATATAAGCCCAGTGTATTATTATTTTAAAACTAAACAAAGGCATTGGCTTTAGGAATGGCTTCCAATCCCTTTTCTTTCATAGGAAACTGCCTGGATGAAGGRGAGAGTTGTGAATTCTACTAACTACAATTTTTGTCACTTTGAAAAAATCCCTGATGGAAATTAGACAAATAAATTTACTTTCACTTAAATACTAGTTTTTTTTTTTTAAGTTACAATTAGGAAAAAATAATTGAAATGTAGATTTAAGTAATTTTTGCTGGTACACTTCAGGATTCTAATGAAATACTTTTGGCTATTATGAAAAGGATTCCTCGACAGAGAAGAGAAAAATCCCTTTCAATGACACCTCAGGTAACAGAATTTGCAAAGGGCAGAATGTCTCTGTGAGAGTGTGGGAAGGATGCTTTGCTAATGCTGATGTCTGACTAGAGCAGAAAGATGGAAAATCTGTCTCCAAGTGTGTTTTCCTTTTTGCTCTGGTCTCAGAGAAAAAACCTGATTGCCAAATATTTTAAAAATTTCTTCTGGACATTCACTCAAGCCATCTTCCGAGGATGAGCACCTGCATCTCAAGATGGCTGCAGCAGATCACCATCCTCACTACACTAACAGGAAGGCTGTGGGCCCATCGCATGCATCTTCTTCTCCCTTCTGGCTCTCCCTCCTCCCTCGGCTGGGCACCAGTGCTTCAGGCTACTTTATCTTCAGGCCAAGCCCCCCACCCTGGCATTGATGCTTGCTCAGTTCCCTGCCTGAAGACCCCTGGGGCTTCCTTCACTACATTCAGGTTTCTGCTTAAATGTCATCTTTTGAGAGAGGGATCACTTCCTTCAATCCTTTTGCCCTCTTCACCTTATTCTGTTTGATCCTCTTAAAAGACCTACTTAGCACATATATATCATACATTTATTTGCTTATTGTGCAGGTTCCCGAGAGACCTGAAGGACTCCTGAGAGAAGGCAGGGCATCTGTCCACTGCCATATCCCCAGCACCAGGCCAGTGCCTAACGCTGTCCAGGTACCTTGTAGATATGAATTACATTATTCATATCATTAAATTAGTTATTTATGCTGATCAACTACATCCACTTCTGTAGTTGGCTTTTTTAAAGTGGTAAGTCTTCTAGCTTAAAATACAATAAAATGCACATATGATACTCTGTGCTATTTTAATTATTTCATAGTCCTAATATGGGAAGAGAAATTCTTAGGTAGTAAAATACCTTGAAATTTGATTTATAAAATGGATAAAGTAGAGACCAAACTTTGAATCTGTTAACAAAGTGTTTATGTTTCTTAAAATGGACCATGAAAAGATTTCTATAAGTTTGTGGACTGCTTTAAAGATATAATTTTGTTTCTTATAAAAACTGACTTACAGTTGATTTTTCAGGAATACGACTCAAGGCATAAAATGAGCAACCATGGTCAAATGTTTTTAAAACATTTTAGAGAATGAAGTCACTATACCTCTCTGCTGTCACCATGAGATTTTTCTGCACATTAAGGATAAATCCACCAGATTCTCCTAACTATCCCTTAGGTTTCTCTATCCAATCCACACTGAAGGTGAGATGTCTTAGACAATGTTTTATAAAGATCAAGGGCTGCTGTTCTCCCAAGCGTTACAGGTACAAGGAATGTATGTCACTGCTCCCTGAAAGCCTAAGAACACCGTCTCCGGTGAGCTGGAGAAAACCCTCCTGTAATTCAGTAGAGTTTAGCTACTTGTTTGGGCACAGCTGATAGAGGGTCATGGGATTTTCAAAGTTAGAAGGAGGCTTGGAGATGGTCCAGGTCAACTCCTTCATGTGAGATCATCTATCAAGGTCTAGAAAATTCAGAGAAGAAAAGCCAGTCAAACATTCTGCCTTTTTTTTTTTTTTCTAAAGAAAACAAATCATGGTATCCAAGCAACCACATTATATTTGCCTTGTATGAAAAGAAAAATGGCATCTGCTTTTGAATAAGGCAACAAAGTTCCTGAGGAAGAAAGAATGAATTACATAGCCCAGAATCCGACCATAAATGAACAACAAAGATGTTCCTTGTTAGATTGTGGATTTTAAAATCAAATGTGAAGGATGGACCTGGTGTGAAATCCAACACCAAAAAYGATAGGAATTTTGTGATTTAACAGAGTTCTTAAATTGTTTTTTCTCTTTTCTTTTTCTTTCTTTTTTTTTTTTTTAAAGAGGACTGGACAAAAGTAGGCCTGAGAAACCGAGGTTCCTCACAGAGATGACTTCCTGAGGACTGAGTGGACAGTACAAATCTTTTTTGAAACAAAACGAATGCGTGAGAACTGCTATCCCCAGTGGATTCTTTTACTGAGAACTTTCCTCATTTCATCTTGGAAAATAAAACACACATTCAAGTTTTGTTTCTTAAAAAAAAAAATAACCCAGATGTCCAGTGCCAGTCTCCTGGTCCTGTCCTGGTCATGTCTAGCCTCACCCTTGGCACCTGGGCACATGCAGACCTGTCTGTCCACACTCCTCCTGCATCACTGCTGGGAAGGACACTTCCACTCACCGGGGCTCGTRAGGGCACCCAGGGCGCTGCTTGTGGTTGAGAGAGGGTTTGCGTTGGTGCTGGTGGCTGAGGTCTGGGCTGCGGCTGCTGCGGCAGCCAGTGTGGCCAGATTCTGTAACTGTAAAGCATTCATGCCTGTGGGGGAAAGAGAAAAGTATCATTAGCAATAGTCCCACTTCCCCAGCTTCCAGATGAGAGCAGGCTCCCAAGGTCATCAGGGCAGATGACAAGAGCATGTGCCTGTGGCACCATGCTAAGATATCTCAATGTCATATATATTCACCCCMGCTGTGGGGAGCTGGTCTCTGTTCCTCTTTTCAGAGGACACTCCTTCAGTCCTTTAGATACCATCTTCTACTCCTAGAGTCACGGTACTAAGAAAGAGCACCTGCGCTCTATCCAGGAAATTACTCAGCAGAGTTACCTCACTGGGGTGCTGCCTGCCCTGACTCAGGACCTGCTCCCTACTCCCTTCTCTCCCTGCGGCAGGGATAACTAGAAGACAAGAGAGCGCTCTGTGTTGACTGCCCACAGAAGGGTCTTTAGACTGGCAACTTTAAGACATAGTTGTCAAGAAAGTGAGATCTTGGCATGGACAGCTGAGAAGCACTTTGTAGTCAACTCTCATTCCCTAACGTGACAGGTGCATGGCATAAGGTATTACAGAGGAAATTACAGTTCATTGGTTAAATGCTCTCTCTCTGAACATGAACCAACATGGGTTATAATCTTGGCTCTGCCACTTTTCCAGATTGGTGATTCTGAGCAAATTACTCAGTTTCTCCATTTCTTGGTTAGTGAGTGGACATACTAACTGCACCTGAATTCAAAGGGCAGATTAAATAAGATGATAAGTGCAAATTACTCTTGCACAACTCTAAGTACCCAATAAATGTTAGCCATTGTTGTTATTGCCACTGAACTTTTCTCTTCATTTCAAATGTGAACTCTAAAAGATGCCCATAGTTGGAGCCCAGTATTTGATGAATAAAAGAATGAATTAAAATGGCAGTGCTTTAATAGCTTTATTTGTAAAATGTTTGTATTTTAAAGGTATTTATGTTTAAAATTTTTTTTTAAAGATTGTTTTTAAAACTGTGCTATTTTTAAGTACAGTGACTTTCTGGCAAGTAAAAAATTAAGGAAAAAAACAAGGAAATTAAAAATTTGTAAGCACGAGGGTGGGATCAGCTGAGAGACCTGGGGCAGTGACCTAAGGCTGGACTTGGGTCAGATGTCCCTGCCACAGGAAGTTTCAATTTCTTTTTTCCTCCCCCTTCAATTTCTCAATCCACAGGCTCTCTGAACAATCCACCTATTTTCCATGATTGGTTTCACAGTAAGAGAGCACACAGGTGAGAAGCAGGAAACAACACCTTTCCCCTTATAGAGAAGAATGAGAGAGAGAGAGAGAGAGAGAGAGAGAGAGAGAGAGAGACAGACAGACACAGACAGACACACACACACTGGAGTTCAGTAATCAGCTTAATTTTACCTTCTTCTTGGGCCTCAAAACTAGATACTTAATAAATGTCTCTTGAGCAAATTTAATCTGCTTTAGGAACAATTGCCTGATAGCTGATCCCATATGTGTTGGGGGAGGTTGCTATGGGTGGGYGAATGTTCTAGCAACACACCAGAGTAAGCCCCTAGCCACTGGCGTGGCACTCTCAGARTAAGCATGAGTTAGGCACTTCTGTACTCTTCTGCCCCTTCCTTCAGGGTTTGCTTCTACGTCTTTGTTGCAAAATGCATTCTCATTTTGTTAAAAATGATATTCTTATCTTCTTCTAGGAGACATTCAGACCTGGTGGCTGGAAAGCCAAACACCTATTTTTTAAAACCTACTTATTTGGTGGGGATGCTTAGAAGCCAGGACACGAGTATTTGTGGAATCCTGTGAATTTCTGTAAGAAAAACTTAGACTTTCSGCCAGCCTGTCTCATGGAGTAAATGCGACTGGAAACAAGGCTCTCTCTTGTTCCCTCTGATCAAGGGTCGAACAGTGTCATGTTTATGGGAACGTGGGTGTTCAGAAGCGCAGGTCTTCTTTTTCAGTCTTACTTTAACAAAATGGAAATGGAGGAAGTTATGGCAGCTGCCTAGCTTTAGTGCAGAAGCACCTGGCCCCAACGGAGGGCTCTACTTCCCCAAAGCAACATGAGTGCACCTGGGCCTGAGGGCGCCAAGAGCTCCCAGGCCCTGGGGCTCTCAGTGAGGCACCTTGCAGCATCCGACCATCCCTCGGGACTGATTATTTTCTTGATGGGAGCCAGATGACCAGACTACATCACCACCAGGGGAAAAAAAGAAGAGGGTTGGTGCTGAAGTAAAAACTAGAACAAGCATCTGGCAAAATCAACACAAGGCTGAAGCATGACTCAAGGCTCAGGCCAGAGGAATCCTCCTCCAGGACATCTGTGACCCTCCTGAGTTGGGCGCTATAGTACTGGAGCTAGAGAGCTGTGTGATGGCCTGGCCAAGCCTGTTCTTCCAGGTTAGAGACATCAGGTCCTTGGCTAAGAACAGCCAATGGCAGCAGATCCTCCTGCGCATGGCACAGATGCACAGTCTGTGTGTCATCTGCAAACTCTCTTCTGCGGGAGCCGAGATGAAGAATGGAAAGCTGATGCCACTGTGATCCCCAGTGTCTGAGGGATTTGAGGGAAAAGGTAGAGCAGAGGTGTTAGAACTAGTAAGGCAGGAGGATGTCTGCCTGTCCACTGTTCACCCAGGCATCCATCCTTCCACCCAGCCAGCACCTAAGTGGCCACCATGGGCCAGACCCTGTGTCAGACATTGAGGATGGAGTGGGAATAGGACAGCCAGTGCCYAGGGAGGTTGCTGGAGTTTGGGGCAGGGAGAAGCCAATGACTGGGGGAAATCCTTTTGGTTCATCAGTTTCTGGAAATAGGCCCAGATTCAGAACCAAATTCTCACAAAATCTCATTTGAGGGAGATGCCAGAAAAGTACAGGAAAACACCAGCCAGTGAGAAATGGGGGATCACACCTTGCCCCTTCTCTGCAGTCCTGTCATGGTCTGGTGTGACAACCCATCAGGCTTTCCTGATTCCCCCCAAATACCACTCCCAAATAAAAGCGTTCAGTACCACAGAGGTGCGTCAGCCAACTTTCCAGATGGGGGCCCCATTCCCAGTGGTAACCCCCACATTTCTGCTTTTCTCGGTGCAGGGCTGGCAGGGACATCCTGTTCTTCACACTATCTCCTGTTCCTAAGGCTTGGAATGCACAGAATTCTCAATGGCAACAGTGACACTGCCACTCAGCAGAGGTGGTTGTGCTGGTGTTGAAGCATGCAAGCTCCAATCTCAGATGCCCTGGGTTTAAATCAACCCAGCTCTGCCCACTACTCCAACCAGACCACCTGGAGCAAATTGGTTCTGTGCCTTGGGGTTCCCAAGGATCAAGTGGAATTACAATGGAACCTACTTCTTGAGGGTCAATACATGGAAATGTCCAAGAACAATGCCCAGTAGTTGTTCAAAGAGGAAGACTCTTGGCAAGACTAGTAACTGCAGTATTACCTCAAATAATGAGGACAATGGTCATGAGGATAAAGCACGTGCCACTACGTGTGGTCCCTGACTTGGTATTCATAACAAACCCACACGGTGGTGGCCTTACTGCTGTGTGCAGGCCAGAGAGAGGGGAAACTAAGGCATGAGGAGGTCAAAACACCATTTCCCATTCTGCAAGGGCAACACCCCAGGGAGCAGGAATGGGTAAATGTGAGAATTCTGCTTTCTTCTCCATGTGGCTGCCCTGCCTTGTTGAATTGGCCTCCTTGTTGTGTCCCTTCTGTCCTCTTGGTCCCCATCTGGGCCTCTTTTGCCTGTTTGTCCTTGAGTCTTGGTCTTTACTTACTTCATTAAACTTCCTACCTCAGAAAAGTTTAGGAGGGACAGGGAGGAGAGGAAGGAAGGGGATGGAATGGTGCGGGGTTTAAAAGGAGTTGTGGCCGGGGCTTTAGAAGTCAACTGTAACCTGCACAGTTGCCCAGAGTGCACTCAGCCCATGAAGCTGCCAGGGAAGGCCTGTTAATCCAGCAGAAGCAAATTCGAGACCTGGGAGTGGGARCGGCAGGCCTGGGAGACAGTGTCTTACAGTCCTGTTCTCCACTTAATCATGGTGTCTGAAATCCAGGAACTGAATTAGATCTTCATTAGTAGCTAAGAACTGAGTTAACTAGTAACCACTTTGTGACTATGTACTATGTCTTGCTCTCTAAATCACCGAATTCTTAAATTTCTTAATGTGATTCCTTTTGCATCCATTACCAGGATCCCAGATGCCAGAGACCACTGGTGTCAAGTGCCCTGGTGAACCAATGGACCCCTGGCCTCTTCTCCATACTGAGGCTGTTCATGCTGCTTCTCCCACACAACTGGGGGCCCTCAGAGGGATTCAGGTGGTCTATGAACTTCCTGAAATTTTATGAAGGGGTGTGTGTGTGTGTGTGTGTGTGTGTGTGTGTGTGTGAGAGAGAGAGAGAGAGAAAGAGAGAGAGAGATCATGTGCAAAATGTTTTTTGTGATAGACTATAAAAAAAAGTAAAATAAATCTAGACAACTTGAAAAAGACACAAGTCCTAGCAGGAAGCCATTAAGTGACAAGTCTAGGGTCGGGACAGTGACTATGTGACAGGAAGACTCGGGAAGTGATAGCTGAGGAGTGATGACACAGAGAACAGCGGGGGAGGAGGAAAGGAAACAGCCCCTTCTCCCATTCAGAACAAAGACACCCACCCATGCACCAACAGAAGCAGCCCACCACATCAGATCTTCTGCAGGCTTAGCTGCGTTTCTGGGCACAGCTGAAACTCAGGAGGACTCGAGCAGAACCTCACAGAGACCACCTTTAAAATGGGGTACCAACCTGGACAGAGGCTGCCGGGTAACGAAGGAGCCGTTTCCCTCTGCCCAGTGTTCTTGTGTCTGCCAGGCAGAGGCCTTCTGCCTACTCTCTAGCTCATCCCTCCTCAAGGACATTCCTGAACTACCCTGGTCTTCCAAATGCTACTGATGTCAGGGAAATGAGTCTGGGGCAAGTAGAAGGAGCCTGGGACGTTTCTTTTGGACACAGTGCTTCTGAACCCTTCAGTGGCAACAGCATG